AGTGACAGTTTGGATGCAGCAGGAACGGCTGTTTTTTTTGCACTTGCTGCATGCTCAGGAGCTTCGTGGGTGCTGCTGCCAGTGCTGGCCTTCTTTGGTCTCTTTGCCTGGCAATCTTTCTCCAGCTTGTTGCAGAAGACCTTGTACTGACTATCAACTTTTTTCTTGTGGCCCAACATGTGATACCAGCTTGCCAAGCTTCGCCATGTAAGGAGAAGGCAGGCTTCAGTGCAGCAAGAGGGATGATGCACGGTATTTTGCTTTGTGGTGATTGTCGCCGAGTTGCATCCCTTCTTGTCCACCTTGTCTCGCTTGTTTCCGGTGGTTCCCTCCCGTTGGGCTGGTGGGGCTTGTTACTGTCATTTGCTGTCCAGGACGAGTCTGTTGTGAATTCTTTCAAGGACAGTTCAGGGCTTATTGCCCATGGTGCAGGTACAAATTTAGTCGGAAGGCCAGCGAAAGCCTTGGGGCAGCAATCTAGCATGGGGTTTTCCTTGAAGCTTCGAGCACGGATTAGCAAGTTTGCGATCCTCCGCATGATTCATCCGAAGTGACAGCTGGATGCGGCAGGAACGGCTGTTCGTTTTTTGCACTTGCTGCTTGCTCAGGAGCTTCGTGGGTGCTGCCGCCGGTCACGCTGGCCTTCATTGGCCGCTTGACCTGGCACGGCAAGCCCTAGCCAAAGGGCTTAGCACATGAAACGTACATCTTCGGTAGGCAGTCAGCAGTATCCCTGCTGCCACGTATCTGACACCGCCCAGTAGTAGTATTGTCGACTTCCAGAACTGAGCATGCAACCATTTTTAAAGCTCGACTAAACGACTCAGGCGGACATTCGGCGCCGTCGCCCTTTACAGGGCTGGGTGAGCTACATCCAGGCTCGCTAGTATGTTAGGTTTATTTCAGTCTGAGATTCCAGTTCATGTGCAGGTCTCGCAGACTGCCGGCAAAGGCGCTTCGGCCGTGATGTATAGGTATCCTTTCCGGCGCGCTTGAATCCGACCTCCCTCGCCTAGCCCCGCATCCCTCGCAGTCTCAGGACGGCCCAGTTTGTCCGCAAGGCCGGCTTGAGAGCTTGAAGCCCCAGCGCAAAGTAGCCAAAAATCGAAATCCCCGCATGGCAGAAGGGGGCGGGGAGCCTTCACCCTAAACCCTAAACCCACTTAGAGCCTTGAGCTGAACGCGAGAGCCGTGCAACCTGAAAACCCGTGGGGCCCCGGGAGCCGAAACCCGAAGGCCGTGGAATCTGGACGGGCGGCAAAGCCAAAGACAGCGGCAGAGGCCAATCTCCACGGGTACTTGGAGGTTCATGGGTAGTGATAAGTGGGGTTATAAGTAGGGTAACTATTGTTATAACCCATATTAGGGGACTTACAACCGTACATATAACTACCCATGAACCTCCAAGTAGTGGTGGCACAATCGTAGTCGTAGTCGTCGTAGTCCCGTAGTCTAATCTTCCTGTCAATCGGCCCCCTCCTCCTTCCGCTGTATTTCCTCATGGTCATCCGCAGCGGCAGAGCCAGCAGCTGTATCAATTTGAGATGTGCTCTCGGCTCCGTGCCACTCTGCATGATTCAGCTTTCTGGGTAAGCTCCTCATTTTCCCTCCACGAGCACAGAGTGGCTGTTTGCAAGCTGACCATATATTATGTACCTATATATATACATATTTGTATGTGCATCTACATATACATATATATCTACAGCTACATTCACAACTACATCTATATCTATACCTACATCTATATCTATATTCAAATCTGTACCTACATCAATATCTGTATCAGATCTGCATCCACATTTACATATATGTCTACATCTACATCCACATCTATATCCATATCTATATCCTACCTCTATACCTATGTGTCTTGTCTATACAAGAGCTCTCTTTCGCTCTGTATACATATATATATATATACATATGTATGCATGTGTACAAGATTGTGTATAACATGTTCTTGCACATACTATATGGGCCGGTCCTTTGAAGGAGGCGAGCCTGGAGCAGCATACGGTCCTGGAGCTTCGTGAGAAGCTGCGGAAGCTCCAGCTCCCAGCGCCTTCGTCCAGGTTTCGATTAAGAGCAATATTGGTAGTTCATATTTGTAGTTGCGGTTCGGGTTTAGGGTTAAGGGTGTAGGTATTACGTGTCCGTATCAATAGTTAGGAGTAGCAGTTCATACGGCGATCAACTGTATCACTAATTCATACCAGTAAGTATTATAGTAATGAGGTTTTTGTAGTTTGTAGTAGTAGCTAGAATTAGTACTTACAGCAATCACAGCAACGAGAGCAATGAAAACAATGATATTAGTACTAGTAGCTAAAGCAATACTGATTACCGTGATACTGGAGCTGTCCGGATTCTGGAAGATTTGCATTATAGTCTTTCAGTGTTTTCATGAATAATCCTAAACCCTTAACCCTTATACGAATATATACCCGTTACTAGGCCCCCTACATTGAACCCCTAAACCCTGAATCCTAAACCTACCCTGACCCTGGAGATCTAAACTTTAACCTTCAACCTAGGGATCTAAACCCTAAACCCTAAACCCTAAGCCCAAACCTAGCGATCTCAGGTGTCTGGAAGGAAGCAGGAGCTCATCCAGCGTCTCAAGGAGGTCTCAGAGCGATTGAGGAAGTGGGACATGGATTCCCTAGAGGATTCCTTGGAAAGGCCCCTATAGATTTCACAAATCCCTTCAAAGGACATGGATATCAGGACAGATTAGGCTTCTTTGAGGGCTCCTAAGAGGGTTCTTTACGGAAGGGTTCTTGGAGGTCTCTTTGAGGGCTTATTGCGTTGGAATTCAGGAAATTTAAGTTTTAGCGTTTAAGAATACACTTGAAGTTTACTTTCGAGGTTAAGGTGTGCAAGTATCAAAATTCGAGTAGTGCTGTTGGCTAACATGTATGCCTGTCATGCACTGGTACTTGGAGGTTCATGGGTAGTTATAAGTGGAGTTGTAAGTAGGGTAACTATAGTTATAACCCATATTAGGGGACTTCTAACCCCCCCTATTAACTACCCATGAACCTCCAAGTACTGCTGAATGGCAAAGCTCTTCCAAACTTTCGGACCCTGAGCTGGCGCATTAATAATATTCGTTGTGGGGTCCCTTATTACCCAGACTCTCCAATATTCCTTAGTTAAGGAATATACCTTAAATTATAGTAGGATCCCTAATATGATTTAAGGTATGTTCCTTAATTAAGGGTTATTGGAGTCTCTGTCTGGGTATACAGATGCTATAGTTCACCTTTGGATGCCAGGCACAAGCGTTGCAAGATGAAGCAGAGCGCACCTGGGAAAGGAAAGAAAAAGTTGGCTGGTAGGCTGCAGAGCCTGTACTCGTAGCAAATTATTATTGTCATCACTGCTACCGTTATTGTTATCAGTTGATACTACTATTATTTCTATCATTATGTGCCAGATCTTGTACCTGAGTCTCGGTAAACTCTACTCTAAACTGAGGATCTGCGCAACCAGCGCAGCCGTACCACGAGATGAAGGCAGACTTTCACGCAGTCCGGTAGATTGGAAAGTCGATCAGCGACGTTGCCGAGAAAGCAAATAAGTCGTAGTTGACACCCACGTGACATTTGACGCGACCTCTGCGTTCGAGCGACAGCATGCTGGGGGCCGGCGGCCTCAACAAAGGACAACCGCTAGAACAGAAGCTCATGCTTACAATGCATCAGCAACGCAAGTATTCATTTCCTCAGCCTCCTGTCCTGGTTTTTCGTGGCTACATGAAGCGTCCTGGCCTATGGCATGCAGCATCAGACTTAGTTTGGATTCTAGATTCTGGACATTCTGGTCCAAACTACTCAGATCTCTTTAAGCCGAAACAGAGCGGCAGTGGGAGCAGTGCAGGTGGTCGACCTTAAAGAAGCGCTGCGAGCGCTTGGCATGCCGGTCTCTGGGCGAAAGCCCGATCTCGTGGCGCGCCTGGAGGCTCAGAACGTTCAAAACAAAATGTCTTCATCGCCACCGTCGTCCTGCTTGTCAGCATCTTCATTATCATTGTCGACGTCAGCATGACAAGCGTGTCACTGCCAGAATCACCTGCACACTCACAACCATTTTATTTCTCCTTCTTCACCAAGATCGTGATCACCTATCGCAAGCGAAATTCAGCCATCAGAATCCTTCATCGCAGTCTTCTGTTCATCTACGCCACCATCACGATCACCGTGTGCACAATCAATGGCAGTATCACCAGCGTCTTAATAGCAGCAGCACTAGTAGGGTGGTAGTGGTGATGGTAGTGGTGGTGGTCGTCGTCGTCATCGTAGCAGTAATAGTAGTTCTTGTTGTGGTAGTCGTCGTGGAAGTAGAAGTAGAAGTAGAAGTAGAAGTAGAAGTAGAAGTAGTAGTAGTAGTAGTAGTAGTAGTAGTAGTCGTAGTAACGCATGTAAGACAATGCCTTCACCACTACTACCCCGACGTACTGCTACTGCTACTGGACGCGCACTGGGACGACAACCACCAGCAACTTTGCAAATATGAGTGATGTGAGCGAGTTGTCATACCTCTGCTGCACTGGGTGGAGCCGTATTTGGTGTTCTAGGAAGTAGTTCTAGTCTTGCTGGCACCCCGTTCATGCATCATGCGAGGCAGCTGGAAAGGAGGAAACCTCTCCGGCACATTTTTCCGAGAAGTCCTCAGACACTGACGACGTTGACGTGTTGGAGTCTGGACAGGCTGCTCGATTCAAAGACAGCATCAAAGCAAGGGGTTGCTCCAAAGTAGGCCGGCGATCCGCTACAACAAGCAGGATCCCGAGAGGGACCAAATCTAGGCAACAAGGAGATGACGCAGATCATGACATAAGGGATCTTCATTACCCTGTACGGACGTTGATGACACAGCGAGGGGCTGTCTTCATAATATAGACAGATAAATAAGTAAAAGAGCTACACACCCATATATATATATATATATACAAATATAACATTTAACTGGATGTAAGTCCTGGTTCCGGGATGTTTAACGACAAGCACTTTCGCAACGTGCACGAGCACATGTACATTTCCACTAACTCAAGCAAGTTACCCTAAACCCCAAGCCGTTACTGGTCCCAACAGCCTCCTGATAATCGAGGACTTCTGCAGGAAAAGAGCCTTCAGGAAATGTTAGGAAGGCTTCGGTTTTGAAGCGCCCTTGAGCCAACTTGCTCCTTGTGCTGTGTCCGCTGTGCCTGTCTGCAAACCCTTCCGCAGTCCGGGTCTGCAGGTGTCTCTGAGCAATTTGCGCGTGGGCCAGAAATTGCGCGGAATTGTGCGGCGCATTTCGCAATGGGGCGCCTTCGTAGAGATAGGCATGGAGGGTTCACGGGTTTTCAGCACGCAGAGGTTGTGCTTTTTTTACTTGGAGGATCATGGGACTTAGTAAGTAAGGTTAAAAGTCCCCTAACTGGGGTTATAAGTATAGTTACCTTAGTTATAACCCTACTTACTAAGTCCCATGATCCTTTAAGTAGGGCTGACTTGACCAACATGCCGTTCAGGAGGGAGGCTCGGAGCTGATGCGTAGCGGCTAGGGCTACAAACGGACGTTCGCTTCTCAAGCGGCCACGCGCAGCCGTTGGGGGTGTTCGCTTTTAGAAACCTACCTACGAACAAACTTCATGTCGATCTTGAATCGGTGTAACATACAAAATCAGCACGAAGTTTATAGTACATGTGATCTTCCGTTGTATTCCAGCTGCCTACAGTTCGCAGGCGCTGGTGCAACAGCTCTGGCACGAATCTCCCGAATGGCCGAGCGCCCCTTGCTTGAATACTGTGATGCCGTTGATGCTTTCGGTTCGCCTTTCCGGCGGGGCCGAACCTTCCCAAACCAAGGTTATGTGGAGGACGTCTACGATGTGGTACCTGTGGGGCAGGACCGCTTCGTTCATAAACCGCCGTATTGCCAGTGCCAAACACAGGTTCTAGATGATGATGCATTCAACTATTCACGAGACTCTGTGCAGTGTCAAGCCTCACGACGGCAACCGCACAGAAGCTCACTACGCATCGTCTCTGTGAGCAGCATGCCTTTTATTTCCCCGATTTCTCAGGAAGTGGTCGTGTGGGAGTCTTGGTACGAAATTTGCAGCACCTACTCTTAGACGTTGACGGACAGTAGAGCCATGGTCCAGGCGACAGGCCGCTTTGCAGCCTCAGGTATACCGCATTGCGCCGGACGGCAAAATCGGCCTGTCCATGATCGAATATCCACCTTCGAAGCTGAAGGACGCGAGCAGAGGGCATCTTGCGCAGTCGATATGCTGAGACCCTGCGATGGAGGATCCCGTCTCTTTCTTTGAAGATGCGAGGCATCGCTGCTCTGCCTTGGCAGCATGTGCAGTGGTTCATGATGCATCACTCTGGGGGCCAGCCCGAAGTCTGAAAAGCACCGCCTCAAAAGTCCCAAAGGCCCCAAAAGCCCAACACCCCAGGCCCCAAACCCTGGACTTCAACCCGGTTGGGCAGTACATGACCGGAAGCCCATCACAACTCCCTGAACCCCATCGCACCCACGAAACCCCAGTCCTTCGCGAGTGTCGCGAAAAGAAGGAGGCATAGAAAAGAACCCTGCATGCAGCAACAAAAATTTAGGGCACCAGGGTTAAGCGCTTCAGAGAGTAAGGTGGTGCCAGGGTTTTAGCTCCGAAGTTTCGGAAGTCATGGAAAGTCTCGACAACCGTGTGGCACGAATTGGTGCCAAGAGGGTTTTCATGATCATGATCATGGCCCTGCTTCAGGCCATCCGAGTGGTTTACAGCCACCGTTCGTTTCATTTCCCACTGGTCGATCTTCGTTGATGTTGCGGTCCCCGAAGGAGGAGGCCGGAGACTTGTGCTAGGAAGCAGGCACCAGGCGGGGCACTTCCGGGGCGCATTCCGCAGTTTCCAGCAAACCTTGGGACACAAGCAATGCGCGGGCCCGATGCCTTGGGTGGCTTCTCTCGGTTTAGTGCCGCTGAGTTGTGCTGTGAGAATGAGTGCCAAGAGTCCCGTGGGGTCGGAAGGCCTGGTCCAGGGCATCCTGCACAAGTCGCAGTTTCCCTATCCGGAGAAGGCCGGGGTCAAATGCTGGAGTCGGCCGACAGTCTGGAGCCCTACGGCAGAAAGGGCTGTGTTCTTGCGCTTAGGGACGAGTGTTGCTTGGTCTTTGTTGTCCAACAGGCAGTGAAGGGCCAAGAAGTCGAAGTACGAGCATCTCGGGCACAGGGGATTCTGAAGGTTGGCCACTACCGAAGTCTGCTGCAGGGTGGGACATGATGTCCCGTCTTCCTTCTGGCCACAGTTCTCAGCTGTCGAGTTGAGTGTACGATCCTCATCGCCACGGCCCTGTTCTGCACTCTTGGCCTGCGGCTTTTCTGCCAAGGTAGTGGAGATCATCTCCAATACAGGGACACTTCGACTGACAGCCATGAAGAGGGGCAGCCGGTGACGCGAATCAGGAAAAAGGAAGCTGTTCGAAGTTCGGAGTGTTGAACCGTCTTCATGGGTTTCCTTTTCATTTGTCTATCTGTACCTGGATCCTTCTGTCAGTCTTCTATCTGCCTGTCTGACTGCCCGGGTTTCTCTGTCTCTCTGTCTGTTGGTCTGTCGATCCATATTTCAATTTCTTCGCCGTTTCTCTGGGCGTATGGGCCGATTCTTCAATCCAGATGGACCTAGGTCCTAGGCATGCAGACCTTGGGATGTTGAAACATTGCTGCAGCCAGTTCCACCGCCTCCCTGCTTCCTTCGTTCCTTGAGATTTTAGTCTTCGTGGTTGCCAGACCCCAAACCCGAAGCCCTAAACCGCCAACCCTGACGACCTTGACTCCGTTATGCCGTAAAGTACCCTCTGTAACACCATTTACAGTACCCCTTATAATAGCCCTTGTAGTACCTGTGGTAGTACCCCTTGTAGTAGCCGTTATGATGTCCCTTATCCGTGGTACCTTTTATGATCTCCCTTATGGCAACCTGAAGCCGATATTTGGACCTCCCGAGGCCGAGCCCTCATGTGGCCTTGCCGGCAGTTCACCTGGAAGCAATTCCTGCAGTGCAGGAGTGACAAGACTTCGGCCCCAGGTTGTGTAGAGAGCGGAGATTCTGCGATAGAGAGGAAATAGGCACGGACACTGGGGGAGCTCCTCGGACTGCCTTGTGGGCTTGGAAATTGGGTGCGTGCGCAGCTCCGCCTCAAAGTGGCGGTTGCAGGGTGGTGGGGGGGAGGGTTTGTGAAGGACGGGTGGGTTGGGGGGATTTGGGGGGTTGGGGAGTTGGGGGGTGGGGCGTTTGAGAAAAAAGAGCTGAAGGCGTTCGTCACGCCACTTGCCAAAAAGCGGAAGTTGCCCGTCCACAGCAGCATCGTCCGGTTTAGGCCCACATGTTGAGAGCAGCTCTAGGGAGGGATTACAAGAACCTTAGATTTAAGGGGTTGCGTTGTGGTGGCTTAGTCGTTTAGGACTCGAGGCTTGGAGTCCGAAGAGTTTCCCTGCCTGTGAAAAGGAGTTCGAAGACAAGCAGGCGCAGCAGCAGGCTCTTATGGAGCTGGTGACCTTGGCATCGTCTTGCTGAAAGCTTGTTTCATGAGGGAATGTGACAGAGGCCATCCCTGATGTCCTAGCTGCTCTGCCCTTACACAGATGACCCCCCGATATCCCCCGACATGAGACACCTATGGATTCGTGCCTGCTGAACGAGTGCTCGAACCGGCGAGCTCCAACCACCTCAACGAAGCCATCCAGTTGACACTGAAGCCATGGACACTTGACCGCAGAGATCATGGGCATCAAGGGTATTGAAGCGAGTATCGAAAAGAGAGTCGCAGGTTTGCCTGGATCTCGTTTTCTGTGTTGAGTTTGCACCTCCTCTTCGTGTTTTCGAACCCTTTCTCCAGCGCGAGTATGAATTGACGTGCTTCTAGTCGCCACCCCTGTCGGCAGCGGCTTGCGAAGCGGGCTTGGGGTCGAATGTGCAAATGGGTATAGTTGTCTAAATTAGGGTCCCTTTTAGGGTCCTTATTATAAGGGTGCCGTACTATATTGGGGACCTAAAAGGGACCCTAATTCAGAGAACTACCCAAATTCTGAATGTTTTGCCCAGGCAGGTGTTTGCGGACGAACTCTGGCCGTGGTGTGCCATGGCAGATAGTGCAGAGTGTTGTTCCCGGTTTTCGCAGAATTGTGGGCTCAGTAGATGTTGTATCAACCTGACCGCCGGTTCAGCTTTTTCAGGTTTGATTTGTAGAGTTCAGGCTTGGTTCATGACTGACTGATCTTTGCTCCCCACTGCTTGTTGATGCTATTGCCCCGTTGGCAGTTGCATGTAGAGTGCATGGGCCCCCTAAACCCTAAACCCTAAACCCTGAACCCCAAACTTTAAGTCCTGAACCCTGAACCCTGAACCCTAAACCCTAAACCCTGAACCCTGAACCCAAAACCGCATTGGCAGTCATTTCGGGCCGCGATGCCGCCCGCGGTGTCCCAGGCTGCTTCTGGCAGCCGTGCAGGCGCGACTGATGCAGAAACCGCACTCCCCAGCTCTGCTGGAGAAGGCCGGGAGCATCCGGTCCTGAATTCTTCAAATCATAGAGGCCTTAATACCATCATAGGGTTTTGGGGCTCACTATACTATAGTTATAATAAGGAACCCCCAAAAGAGTATTGGTGATTATTTAGGCCCCTACATGAAATTCGCCCGGAAGCTTCAGAGACCCGCTTCTTCAGGCGTCCGCATCGGACTTGGACACTCTCCAGTTGGAGGTCCTCTCCGAACCCGAGAAGGCCGCTGGACGGCCTTATATATACATATATACATATATACATATATATATATATATATATATATATGATATTATATCATATATTATATTATATTATATATATTATGTTATGTATATATATATATATATAAATATATTATAGATAGTATTCAGGCCAACGGAACCAGCTGCAATGACATGAATTTCTGTTCTCCCTCGTAAGCGATGTCCGGCGACCATCCTCATTGTTGGTGCTTGTTTGTGCTGTGTGATTCTAGCCATGACAAATGACAATAACAATGGCACATTTATCGCAAAGAGGCTGCATAGCATAGTACTGTCAACGACAACAATAGCGCAATAGTCGATGTACTCTCTTGCTGCAGGATGACAAGAAGGCCACAGACAGCAAGGAAGTCACCAAGGTGGACAAGAAGGAGGCCCCACGAGTGCAAAAAGGATGACGGTCATGTGCTGTGGGGCAATTTGTGCGATACTGTGGCAGCAATGTGCAGACTGAGGAACCTGAGAAGAAAGACGACAAGAAGGAGGAAGACAAGAAAGAAACGAAGGAAGTGAGCAAGAAGGAGGACAAGAAGGAAGAAGACAAGAAGGCCGACGACAAGAAGGACGACGACCAGAAGGAAGTGGACAAGAAGGACCAAGACAAGAAAGAAGCAGACAAGAAGGAAGAAGACAAGAAAGCCGACGACAAGGACGACGACAAGAAGGAAGTGGAGAAGAAGGAGGAAGACAAGAAGGAAGCGGACAAGAAGGAAGAAGACAAGAAAGCTGTCGTCAAGAAGGAGGAAGACAAGAAGGATGATGACAAGATCGAGAAGGAGGTTGAGAAGGAGATGGAGAAAGAAGAGGCGCAGGATGCCAAGAAATCCAAGAAGCAGGACGGCAAGGAGGATGAAAAGGTCGATGCCGCTCTTCTGAAGGTTTTGATTTGGAGGTTGGGGGGTTTAGGCTTCTTGGGGAGCGATCACGGTGGAATGTTTCAGGCGTGTTGTAGCCTTGGAAGCATTCGCTTCGGTGACCTTGCCCAGGTCACCGTCGTGGTGGACGACAAGGAGCCAACATTGTGCTTTTTCTGTGACAGATGGTTTCATCTTACATGCTACCACTATTCCTATCATCATTGATATTGTATATTCTTGTCACTCGTAGTATGGCAAGCCAGCGAGGACGATGAGAAGCCTTCCTCCAAGTCGGTGCCTGCTTTGCATATGGTCCGTGATGCAATTATGCTGCGGTCGGTGTGGCACCATAGCCACCGTTGCCATAGTTTACACCAGACTACTGCTAATCCAGCTTCTGCTACCACGGCTACTTCTGCGGCTACTGCTACTGCTACTGCTCCTGTTACTGCTACTACTGCTACTACTGCCACTGCTGCTGCTGCTGCTGCTGCTGCTACTACTACTACTACTACTGCTACTGCTACTGCTACTGCTACTGCTACTGCTACTGCTACTGCTACTGCTACCGGTACTGCTACTGCTACTGCTAATGCTA